AACTAAGGCATAAAGTCGCGCCCGATCAGTGCCGTTGCTGCTATCCTGGACGGTGGAGGAAAGGGCAGGTGGTCGGTAGTGCCCATATGTCGGTTGGAATTGCCGTAAATTGAGTTCTGTGCTTCCTGGTACAATCAAGACACCCCGAAAAATGCCTTGTTTCTCTCCAGAGGAAGCAACAAGGCGGGGTAACGGTCTTAGCAAATTCATCTGTTTGCGTCACTATCAGCCACAACGTTGCTTCAACAAGGATCGTCTAAATGCGGACCGGCTCGACAGCACCGTCTGCCTGAACTGGAACCTTATGTTGTCGCTAACCTCAACGAGGGTTGTCTGTCCGGTGCTAAGTTATTGCTAGATGAGCTGTTCAGAAATTGATTCACAATCCACATTTGGCTCACATATGCACTTCTTTGGCTACATTAATACTCCTGTGAGGCTTAACGAATATAAAGCTGCTTGTTCGACTACGATCCATAATAGCACCTTATGAGTTTTTGCTAAGCTATAACAGGCATGATTCATCGCGCATGACGCGTCCACTGCGAATCACAGTCTTCCACACGGAGCATTTTATTTCTTAAATTTTGTTGTTGTAATTACCAGACTGTTTAAGCTTTGAAGGAGCTGTGCACTGATAATTGAAACCGTTCACTGTATTGCTGCAGCCACCAGTAACATAATTATTACTTCAGATTGGCAGTTCGATGCGGAATTATTACTTCCAGCAACTCGCTTTTGGTTTTTCTACATCAGTGTCATTCAGAAAGTGACCGTAGGTCATCGGGACGGTAATGAGAAATTATCGAGCACTAGCAGAAAGGAAAGCGATTTATAAACATTTACTTATGCACCGTCAGTCAGTTAATATCCGTAAAGCATCCACTGCAAACTATAAAATGAAAAATTCTCAGGAATAAAGCTAACACCGAGCGTATGCGACAACAGCAACGTGAATGCTTGATGGTACTAACGACGTTGCGAAGAAATGTTTTTTTTATGCGTTTTGTGCTGTGTAACAGCAGTACAAAACGCATATTGTTACGGGGTTGTCT